GTAAATATACATTTACGTCTCATAAATGCACACCTCGAAAAAACACAAAAAATATTTTATTTAACTTAGACATTATTTAAGCACCATTTTGCCACTTAATTGCTTTAACATTCTATTGATAAAAATAATGTTAGATTTGAAATCAGCGGATCACTGGCTGAGTGAATTCTCATTAAACTCTGCAGCTGCTGAAAGGGAATAAAAATATTTTCGATTTCACAGTCAAAATAAGTGATGTCTTTTCCAGCAGGTATCTAAAACAAAATAAATCGCTAAAAAGGAATGTACAAGCTCCTATCATCTCTAACTAATAATAATCTACAAAAACCTGGTTCCACATATCATCTGAATAGTAATTAAAAATGGTATCATTGTTACAGCATCAGTTTTTTCCCAAAACTTATTTACATTTCATTGACATATGAGCCCAGACTTAAAGAAATCTTAAATTTCATGGAATGTTTTTTTCCCAACGGCGGGCATTTGCCTATAACGGCACTGGCCACTCCTAAGGCCAGAACTGGCGGCCATTTTATTGTGGAGGCACCTAATATGCGGCCACCGTTACCTCCTATGAAGGGACAGACAATATTATATCCGTACCTTCTCCGGGATTCGAATCCGGGCCCTGCGGTATTGCATTCAAGCATCTCTAACTACTATACCGTCTGGGCGGCAAATTTCATAGAATTTCAAGCCTATTTAGGGTAAAGAGCAATGTCTCTCGGTTACGACATTGTAACGGGTAATTTTTACTACGGGTAATTTTTGAAGATTCTAAATGCAGCCTGAATAACACCACTTTGGATTTCAAGACCTCTGTTTTCATTGCTTTAAATCCTGCCAAGGAAGGAAAATTATCAGGAAATTTAATAGCTAGAAAAAACTGTTACAAAAAAGGAATACAACTACTCTATCCGTTACGGTTTTGATAAAGGAAGTCATATATTGTTAAACAATGCATAGCATGAACACTTATAGGTTTAATAACCTTATCAGTAGGTGGAGAGTTTGGTTACAAACAGTTTCCAGTTTTCCAAGTATTGTTGGTATCTCGGCATACGTCATTAATCCATTCCAGATCCTTGGATATGTACCAAACGAACGTTTCCAATAAGAAGTAAAGAGAAAAAAAATCTGTCTTATAAAAAAATCTCATTCTTATTATATATTATTCTGTTTAATAGTAAAGTGCAAATGCAGTGGGTAAAACATATACTGCGCATAAATGAAGCACTGAACATCATACTATAACACAAATGATTTTCTGATATCTAATCATAAACAATTTTTCATGTTTTAATGTTTCTGATCTTCGCTGGACAATTTATTTCACCTCTTTTGCAATGCTAGCTTATTTAGTAGCTTGGTTTTCACTTTCATAGACACCATCGTACTCGACATGTGGTATGCAAAAATAAAATTCTGGATACATATGCACCTTTATGCTTTTCGACGATCTCTTTCTTCACCTCCATAGTAATCCTAACGAGTTTCTTCTTTGCTTGACTCTTCTCGTTGGTTACAGTCGAAAACATCGCGGCAAAGACATCGTGGACGAAAACGTCGCGAAGAAAACAACGCAAGGCGAAAATGTCATGGCACAAAGCATCGTGGGAGAAAATAAAGCAAAGAGAAAACATCGTGGTACAAAATATCGTCCTCGAAAACAAAGCGGTTCGAAAACTTCGCAGTTGAAGAGAGAGGAGACCCATTCACCAAATCCCAGTAGTGACACATTATCGTCCATTATCTTCTAGTTCACATCTCTGCAAAGACATTTGCACTTTTTTTGGAACAGAAACTTGAAATTATCAGCAACGCCTTTACCAGAATTTGAACTCCGGACCTTTCAATGTCAGCTGGTTGTTCTACCACGTATACTACAAAAATACAAAATGAGGAAAGTAAAATATGTGATTTAAACCTTTTTCTCACCAGGATGAAGAATAAATTTAAAAGCATGCAAGTAGAGGACTTGGAATGCTTTAGATACGGCTCTCTTGTAAATGATGCCTACAGTTACATTCTATCGCCCAGCCCTGTTACTAAATGTTCCAGCTTTAGCCAATCTGCTAGACGGTGTTAATACGCGTTATTTAAGGCATTGACCCAGCTTAATTAAGTTAACTTGTGTAATCTTCGGTTACATTCGATTACTTTCTAAAGGCAAATAATATTAAGAGAAGAATGTTAAAATAATTAGAAAATAAATAAAAATATTTATATATAGAGAAAGATTTGCAGCCTACATATACGGGCCAAATTTTATTTTTATCATTTAGGCTTTATTTAGAATGCAATTAGATGACAGTGAGCATAGAAATTATGCAGACGATGCTTATGTAGGGTTTTTATTTTATGTAGTATATTAGAGATAATCTTGTAGCGTATTTAATTCATCGTGCTTTGTACAAAATAACACTGGCTAGAAAATGTAAATAAGAAATGCAGATAAATAAGCGTTTTAAATGTTTCAACTTTCTTACGTAAATTAGCAATGCGCATTTATAATGCAGAAAAGAAAATAATAAGAGATCTTTTGCGTCATAAGCTGGCAACAACGTATCCTACCCTTGTGTGTTTCATCTTTGTCTGCTACGGACATGATTGTATGGTTAAATGACAGCATTCCTTTTAAATGCTAAATATGTATTCTGAACATCACTGATAATCACGATGACTGATGGTAAATGGCACTGTTTGTTTGCATCCACCGACTATCTAATTAATGCGAGTGCTAACATTTGTTTAATTTTTAGTTAATAAGATAAAGTTTATGCCATCTCTAATATATTAGTAAAATTATTAAAACGAATATAATTCTCATATATTAATTACTTAACAGTAATATAAAATTAAATGAATTTTACTTAACTGTATTTAAAATATAAGTGTACTGTTAATACGTAATGTTAAAAAATTGCTTTCGAAGGGAACAAGAGTAAGGTGGTTCACAAAACATTCTAATTTATAAAAATGGTCTCCTCTTTAAAAAGTTTAAAAGTTTGAAATCTGTTGGGCTAAACAATTTGTAAAAGACTTGTTTTGATTTAGATCCATAGTTTCAACAGTTCCACGTAAGAAAAAATGTTTTCATCTAGCAGTAAAAGACATGATTTCAGATTAAGTATCAAACAATATTTGTTTGATATAGAAAAATTGGCAATAATAATAATAATCCAGAATTTAACGAAATAAGGTAAAAAATAGAAAAGGGAAGTGTAGTTAGTAACTGACTTCTCTAAAATCTATAAAAATGAAATTATTAATGCATAGAGTTTTTAGTTTTATTTCTATACATATTCCCTTCTTTTGATTCTGAGAATCTAAGTGATTAAAATGATTTAAGCCAAAATAATTTATAACTACAAGCCATATTTTTTAAAAAGATCTTTATAAACTATCCATACACATATTGCTACTTAGTTTAGTTCAAGTAAAAGAAAATTTACTTACTTTGAATAAAATAAAATTAGAAAAACGTTGTCATACACTAGGCTTTTCTTCTAAACGGATATGGTAATTAATACACTAAATGAAGAAAAATAATTTACCATTATCTTATAAAATTAACATGATAAATTTTATAAGATAATGACTTATACATTTGATAATGCAATTAATTAAAATCAAATTAAAAGGGACAAAGGCTTGTACATTAAACAATGAAATTAAATTAATAGATTTCGTTATTTAGGGGTCCCCACTTTTATTAAAATTGGATAAAAATTGATATAAAATTGTAAAAAATGTAGATATAGAATTGTAGATGAATTCTGCAAACTGAATTATTTAATCTGTTATTCCCATTAAACTATACGATAAATTATTTTTCTCCTTTTAGTGAATTAATTATCATACCCATTTTAAATAAAAGCTAACTTCAAAAAAATCTTTTTCTGAACTGCATTTTAGTTTCTGATTTTTAATCTGAGTTACACGTTATCAGTGATGAAATTTTACTCATTATTAAAATACAAGAAATAAATTTTGAGAAAATTATGAGATAAAGAAAAATAATTGAAAGTCATTAATTGAATGAAAAAATTGCTTTGAAAATTCAGTTTCTCGAAATGCATGTAATAACAATGTTACTCAACAGGCATTTTATTTGAAGCTAAAATGAGAGAAGGAATATCATTAAATACGCCAAGGTAGCACACTAAAAACGCATTTTTTCACCGTTTACTTCAGGCTGCAACATATTAAAAAAATGTAGGTAATTGCTCAGCTAATTTTTTTTATCATTCTTATTTTAATGTAATTCTTATTTAATTAATTCTTATTAAAAGAGGATGAAAAGTTTGTTTTATAATCTGTGAAAATTTTAAAACTTTATACCCGATATATGTTTGGAAATAGTAATTTAAATTAAAAGCATCAGATAATCTAAAAATCAAACGATTTTCAAAAAATTAGTCATAAATTCAGAATTTTAGTTAAAATTTTCATAGAAATTTCATCGGAAAGATTTTTTTCCTGCTGTTTGTTTGGTAAATTTAGATATGTGCGAAGAATCATTTAAACATTAAATAAAAATAAATCAAATCTTGAGAAACTTCTTCACCACGTTACATTGTAACCTGACAAGCAGTGTGTATACAAAATTTGAACCCGATGCGTATCAGAAAATTTGTTAAAAATCGACGACAAAATTTTACCCACTGTGAAACTTCAACAATGAACTAAATAAAAGAAAATCTAGCTTTAATTTAATTTAACTTTTACTAAAATAAAATAAATAATAACAATACTACGAATTTTTTAAAAATTTACATTATAAATGAATAAAATATTAGTAACATCTATCTAACAATGAGATGACCGAAATCCGGTCTTCAAAGCTGTCTTAACAGTATTAAGGTGATGAGGCTCGGAAAGAACAAGGCTTTAATACTGTTCTGCAGTTCTTTCAAGCTGATGTGAGCTGAAATAAAAAAAGACTGTTCCGTCACATGAGGATAGATTGTAAACATTATACTTAAAGAACTGTTTATTTCTTAAAATTTTCTGTACATAAATGATGCTGAAATGTACTCCAATAAACTCATTTACATATCACATATGAACAATCTAGAAATTTTTCATCACAAAATTTCTCTTTAAAATATCATTTTTACCAAATCAGCATATCTGTTACATTACATCTCTATAAATCTTTTCATTCTGAATATATTCTCTGTGAATGACAAGTACTCCTGAAAATTTGACTCAGAAGTTGGAAATAAACACGGTATAAACATCCACTTCTTTATGTAATAAAGCAAAGAATTCCATTGGCACGAATACTTTTCACCTGAAAAACAGCAAATACACAAAATTTAAAATACAATAATAACATGTGTATAATAACAAATAACATCATTAGCATGTTTCATAGCATACATGTAACTAAAAACTCTAAATTATTAGGGAATAAAAAATAATAAAATTGGCAAAGGATTAAGTAAATAAAACAATTTCAATGGATTTTCCTTTCTTTAGAAAAAATGACTAATTTTAATATATCTGTTTAAAAAAAACATGAAGTCAATTTTTTGAGACAAATAATTATACATAACATTTCTTTTCCCAAAATATGTAATGCAAATTGATGACCCAAAATAACTTTATAAAAAAGTGATAACTTCATTACATTAACAGCAGGAAAGTAAATAATGAAAGGGCAAAGTAGGACAGTATAAAAAATGAATCTTTGTGCATTTTTTAAATATTTATATCTCTATAAATATAATATGATAATACCCTTTAACTATTCACACTGAAAATTATATATTTAAAAAAAGTGCCTTATATCTCTGTAAATATAATATGATAGTGCCTTTTAAATATTCACACTGAAAATTATATACTTTAAAAAAAGTGCCATTTCATTTCATTATTTAATTTGGCTTGTCTTTCCCTACTGTACAGTTTCATGCAACTATTTAATTGAAATTTGCTTTTTCCATTTCCCAAATACTTAGAAATAGTCGTCAAGAAATTTTTCAAGATCACTTCAGACTCAGCGATCATGCCACAGTTTTTCAAGAGGAATCTCTAGCACTTAGGAAAGCAGCCCTCTGGGCAAGCAGTTCAGATTTTAACAAGATCTCTATCTACACAGACAGTATAAGCGTCCTACAGAGTATGAATAAGACAGGCAAGATTCCAGCGCATATTCAATCCCTAAAAGAGCTTGTCTCTACTCTGAGTAATACAAAGCAAGTCACCCTTCACTGGGTAAGAGGTCATCAAGGGCAAGAGGGAACGAACGGGCAGACACTCCCGCAAAGGCCGCCAAATCTTGCCAAGACTTAGATATCTCCCTTCCGATCTCCACGAGAGCAGCCAAGTATCACATCCAAGAGGCTTTCATGTCACAATGGCAAGAAAGATGGGAACAAGAGGACACCGGAAGATACACCTTCGCAATCTTCCCGATCGTTAGGCTGTCAAGAGTTTACTCGAACCACTACACGGTTCAGGCCCTTTCCAATCATTGAAGGTTCCCCCAACATTTAGAGAGGTTTCTTACATTTACACATCAAGTGCAGTTGTGGATCACCCGCCAGCACAGCAGATGCCGTCCATTACATCACTTCATGCCCACTCACCAAGTCGCTTAGATCTCCAGCCAACACCGCCCTACTCCATAGTAAAGGTCTCAGAGGTTACCTAACGGATTTCTACGGTCTCCAGGAAGTAAGACAGATTGTCAGCTTCGTCAATGACAACAAGACCATCATACAAGTCATACCAGGTTAAAACCTGACGATATGTAAAAGGCAGCATGCCTTATATAAATATGCAAATAACTCACTTTTTCATATATATATTGAAATTACTAATCAAACTTGTTTTCAATAGTCTAACTATACAATTGTAAGTTGGAAAAAACCAACATCAAATTGTATTTATAAATGTAATTTGCTTTGTAATTAATTAATAACGAATGACCTGTAGTGCCCAATGAGAGGCGAGGCAGGCTAAGAATAATAATTATTATTATTATTCTCAAATACTTCCTGTCAATACATATACTACAATTATCCTTTTAAAAGAATAGTTAAAAATAACAAAATATTTCGTTTATTAAGACTACACCCCCCGAGGCAATAACATAACGGAAGTACAGATGAGTTTGAATAAACATTTCCAAACCTATAGACTGGGGCGGTGGGCTCATCCTTTGGCTTCCTAGGTTTTCGGATCTCTCTGGCCTCAATTTCTTTCCCTCTGAAGGCATCTAAAAAGGTAGCTCACGACACGACTCTCCTGAAGAACTTGTTACAAGAATTAGCGTTGCTGTTGTATAAGAACTTCGTATTCTAGATTTACTTCCAAAGAGAATGACACTCACTCCGGCGCCGTTATAATGCGCGTATTGCAGTTGATAGTCTTTCATTTGAACAATTCTTGTAAATATTAAACATTATTTCCCGTAAATATTCAATGATTAAAACGACTTTTCGTTTTTTACTGAGTTTTCGCGTTCAAATTTCACATCATATATTGCATCACGAAAATTACTATTTTCTTCATGCTTTATCTCCCTTAAAGTAATAACGAATTCTGTTAATCCCGGTGTATGCATTTTTAGATTATGTTTATACCTAACTTTCCAAGATGTTGCAGTTTTAGTCTTTATTGGGTTAAATAATGTTGCTTGTTGTTGTCTTATTCATATTACATAGAACAATAGTTGTCAAAGCCTACCACAAAGAGAGGTTAGACTTCTCACCCCCAGTTTTGAAAAAGAGCACCACGGGGGATCCAGTGGTCTCCCACCCCTCTCCCTTTCCACCAATCCACACAAGAGGATTTTCGGCTCGCCGCATATCTAGAGTGCCGCCATGCCGCACCGAATGCATTTACAAACATCGATATACATTACGATACGATATGCATTTATAAACATCCATGTCTTCTCCAGGATTCGAACCCGGGATAAAGGGGGTAAAACTATTTTGTGTCATAATCTCTGAATTCAAGCATCAGTCGTTTTCAGAAATAAAAAATACTGATTCTTATTTTCAACATTAATTCCTTTAATTACATTAACGTTAATGATAGAAACTACTCAAAAATAAGAAAAATACACATTCTGCATAAAGTTTTCAAACTTCTGATTATCTCTTTCGTTCTCTAACAACATGACAGAAATAAAAAAGGTAATTGAAAAGAACACTTTCAAGAATTTCCTTCAAGTATAGTTAATACTTTCTCTCGTGGCACAAAAGCTCCTTAAAGAGCAACGACAAGATAATACTTTTCATGCAAAAACTGTCATTTAGGATTTAGGATTCTATTTTCACAAAAAGTGGATAAATTTTTGTGTCATTTCTCTTGACAACATATGATGTATTTCACATTCAAGTTGTGAACTTATTTTCCTTCGCAAAGTACTTTATTAGAAAAATTAAATATAACGTTTTCCAGACAATCGATATTATTTCAAATTTATGAATTTTTGGAAGTTTTTTTTAATCAAAGTATTTCGCAAGGTATTAACTCTTCTTTAGAATTTGAATTTAAACTTTATTACGCATTTCTGAATTACAGAGTTTTTTTTATGTTTAAACGATGTTTTTTCATTTGATTGATCGGTAATGAGTTTATGAATTTCGAAACCTCCTACAATAATTTTCGTTACATTTTAATTATTTTCTGAGCATAATCTGACGTTCTTTTTTTCTTTCTTTTTTTAAGATACTTAAGGTTTCCTATAAAAATAATCGAAAAGGAATTTATTGCTTTTACTTTTATAATTACTTTCATTTTAGATTCTGAACTTGAAATTTGTCGCATTTCAGTTGAAACTAGTATATTTTTTGTAATTTCCATTTCTATTGATATAAGAGAAAAGTAAATTGTAATAGGTTCATTTTTTGTGCGACGAATTTCTCACTTTCTATGAAGGCCTTAATGCACATTTTCAGATTGGTTTTAAATCTTGCCTTTAAAAGTGAATCATAAAATGTTAAAACTGATGTTTTGATAAATAGCGCAGTTTGAGAAATTTTACAGTAAACAATAAATAATTTAAAATCTTTTTCATGTTGCTCCCTTGAGCACAATCCAGTCTCCAAGCACAGAATATACAGATTTACGAAGTGCGTCAGTCTAGCTTTTTCCACATATTATTTAAAATATTAAGCACTAGTCTGTGTCATAAGGCGTACTCATATACCCTAAATTCGAGCGAAGCATCGAATAGGATGCTTTTTATTATGCTGACTATTTATTTTTTTAAGATGGGGTTGTTTCTTGTAATTTTACTAGACTTCGGCTAAACTTATTGTTTTTTGTAAGAGATATTTTGTTTTCGAGCCTCTTAATCAACTGTTTATTTTCTGGTCTGGAAATAGCATCTGTATTTTTAACTCTGCATCTATGCTACAATAGTTATTTTATTTTGGTGTTACTATTTTGTTTTGCATTGTAAACTGTTATGCCAGCAGGATTCGTTCTGTCTTCATGTACTTTCATATTTTCTATTAATGACTATCATTAATAAGGGAGAAAAGCAGTTCCCCGCTAAATACAACCCTACTTCAATTATTATATCAAGAATCTCGATCACGATACCATTGCAAACATTAGCGTCAGTGCATTGCTGTAGTCTTTACAAGATGAATCTTCACAAAGAGAGGCTTGATTGTAAGCCATTTCCTGGCAGTCTTTGTGAAATTCTTCTTTCTGATACTGAAACATGCAAAGTTCTCGTCACAATGTGCAGCTGATCGACAGAAATGGATAATGGCTGCATGTGGACAATGGTAAGATAAATCACTAGCTATGTAGGATTAAAATAAAAAAATTATGTTAAATCATTATCTGTGGAAAATTTCTTTAGCAACGTGTCCCAAATATCTCCTCGGCTTAGCTTTTGTTTTGAATGCAAACACCCACCCAAAACTGTTTTGCAAAGGGTGCAAAAATGACAAATGTGTATTCTTCCTTTTTATCTCATTCTATAATTACGTTATCAAACTGAATTTTTACAGATTTGCATAGATAGTTGAATTGCGTATTCCTTTCAAATTGCACAGTGTTGTAATATCGGGTTGTCTTAACTGCCATAAAATGTACACGACGTTGAAGACTGTTTGGTGAATTAATCACGAAGACCTTTAAAGTACCACGAAGTCAGAAGCCCTTTATTAACCTTTTAACTGTCATGCCCGAGATTATCTCGGGCACAGCACTGGTGTTCGAAAATGTCACGCCCGAGTATTTCTCGGGGTAATGTTTTTTGAGTGCATCGTATTGTCATACCCGAATATATATCGGGAGATGTTTATTCCGGCTACATTTGGTTTTTCCAATAAAAAAAATTGACAATTTGTGTACCCAAATCATCAAAATAACTTGACAGTTAAAGGGTTAACTTTATTAACTAAGTTTAACAGTCGCCATCCACTCGTGCAGTCAAAATTTTCTGCTTCACGCAAAAGGTAATGGATAACTTAAAAATTGGTGAAGTTAAGTATAGCCTAACGGCTTCACAGATTAACTATCCCGCAAACGGCTCTGACTCGAAGTCGGCGTAAACAAGCCTAATGGCAAGAATAGGTATACGCCACAGAATTCTAATCGCTAGACAATCAAAAGTTAGCAAAGTGGCTTCAAGTAGGCAGAAATACGCTCTGACTTCACCTTCCAAAATCCTTCCTTTAAATACTTCTTTCCTTCTACCTAATTTGAATATAGCGCGTGCCGGAAATTTCCATTCTGGCAGGGAAATGAAATTAAAATTGAAAGGAAAGGTACTTAAAATATTGGGTTAGAAAATTAAACAGTACAATATTATGGTAAAATCTTGTTATTAAAGCCACAATATCCTAAAAAGGTTCTCGCCTAATTCTTTGTACCAATCATCAGTCAAAGAAAACCTTGGCGTAATACATTTCGTGGTCCATTTTTATGTAATTTTAAGTCTTTCATCAAACCTAACAACTTTGTTATGGTAATACGTCATTTATTTCTTAACAGTTCTGGTATTGTCTGATACTGCAAACGTACATGAAATAGACTTCCACTCAGTAGTGCTGATTTAAAATGTTTGTTTACATAATAAGAGAAAGAACGGCTGTTGTAAATTTTAGGAATGGCAGTTTAGTTGAAGTAAGGCATGCCGAGTGACATTGTAGAGAATTTAAATATACGAACAACTTTAATTGTTCTAGAACTGTACGTTTATGGTTATTTCTCGTGTTATCGTCTTTCTTGATAATCTTTCTTTTTTAAAACTCAAGCGAATATTATGTCTACTAAGTGAATATTATGCCACATGAGTTTCGTGTTTAGTTTCTTTAAAGTGAAATTATCTATTAATGAAAGGCATCCTCTCTAAGGCAAGTTGGCTTGTGTACGCAATACAAGCGAAAAATATCAAGAACATATCTCATGCCATCAATTTTCTTAGTCTTTCGAAGACTGATCTGCAGAGCAGTTTAATTAAAATAGATTTTTATGTAAAATTAATTTTCATATATAACCAAACAGAAACAACACTGAAGCTATTTTTCAAAATGTATATGCTACAAAAATAATAGCTAAGCTTTATCAGTTTTTTATTAAAACTTAGAACTTTTCATAAATTTATGTGTTCGTCTAAAGTTTCTGAAGGTACATTTTCTAAAAAAGTAGCAAAAAATAATACTGTCAAAAACTGCTGAATTACATACTTGAGTTCTAGCTCAAAACCGGATGCTCAGCTGTCCATCTTTTTGTGTCTTCATATTGGCAACTTTCATAAGTTTTCCCTGAAATCGAAAAAAAAAATTATACTTTTAGATAAACAACAAAATTTAAAATGAATTCATTACATAGAATTTTCTTATTCCGTATCAGATACTTATGCAAAACAAATGACATTAATTATCCGTTAAACTTATACACTATCTAGCAATAAGCATTTGGGCACTGACACACACAACAAAAATATTCATGATAAGCAGTTGGTAGAGCCTCCACCAGCAGCAGTTACAGGGTTAAATCTCCGGGGTGTGCTTCCCACACGTCCTTGTATGTATTTTATTTTATTTTATTATACAGTCAAAAGTCGTTAATTCGGACACCCATAATCCGGAATAATCTATAATCCGGACCTCAAAGCTACAAACTTTCTGCGCATGCGTCGCTTTCACGCATGCGCACAGGCGTTTACGAGAGCGCATAAGACCCTTACAGCTGCGAATATGTTTGTGCGCATGCACGTTTAATGTGTAACGGAGTTATACGCTAAGCTAAAGTTATCTAATTCAGTTAATGTTGCAGATTGCGTTGTTCCTTAATCTTCGAAATGGATCCGGCTTATTATTTTTTGCAGACTGTTAGAGCAATTTTATAAAAGTAAGCTTGAACTTTCGATTATGTCAAATAGAATTTCCGATATATATTTACTACAAAGCGAAAGTATGTTTTGAAATCCGAAATCTATATTATGTTTTATCAATATTTCCGAAATCTGTTTATCAATATTCCGACGCAATTTCACGCGGATTGGAAGTTGATCTGTCAGCACTATCCTTATCTTCAGATGTTTTTATTTTATTTGGTTTATAATTCCGTACTAAGTGTAGTATTTCATCTCGATATACTCCGTCTTTGATATGATTTAAATCAAGTTCCTCGTCATTATAATTCGCTTCCGATAGTGAAGAAAGTGACCCAGAGGTTATTGAAAACGAAAACATTTCGATTGACAAATTAGTCGGTATTCTCAACACAGCAATTATAGGACTTGAACAGCGGAACTTTGTAACTAAACAAGAAATTATGTCTGTTTAATAGAATTAAAGAGAAAGTATTATCACATGAAACGACGCAACTTACATTGAAGGAAATGTTTAATAAAGTAAACAAATAAATATTAAGCTTTTTCTTTTTGTAAATTTGATACCCTTTAGATCATAATTGTTCTTTATTTCATAAATTACGGTTTCATATTTTTAATTTTGTAATTTTGTAATTCTGCATGCCATCTTACCAGATTTAAACTGATGATCTATAATCCGGAAAAATCGATAATCCGGAATCGCCGAAGTCCCGAAGAGTCCGGATTAACGACTTTTGACTATATTGTTATTATTATTATTATTATTATTAGGATTATTTTGTTCCATTCGGCTTGGAAAAGATATGTAAGCGCCTTTACCGATGTTAGACGATTGTTGCACCCCTCAAATGGGCGATCCAGCTTGTCCCAGTGGTTATCGACAGGGTTTAGGGCAAGGCTCTGGGCAGACTAGTTCATTCGATTAACCCCACTGTCACCCCACCAATCCATGGTGGACCTCGCAACAGGACATGTGGCGTTGTCATTCTAAAAGTAACAGAGACTCAATCTATAAAAGTGCCGCAAAGTAAGAAGCAGACTGTCATGTAAAACAGTCCAGCAGGCCTCGGCATTGAGCTTACCATGATTTGGGACCAAAGCTCTAAGTCCATACCAGGAGAAAACTCCAGACCATAATTCCACCTCTGCCGAACTTTACTGTGGGTACAAAGCATTCTGGCAGGAGCGTTTCCAAGGCAGACGCTAGACATAGACTCTGCCATCTGAATGGTAGAGGGTAAACTTTAATTCATTGCTCTAGAGTACCCGTTTTCACTGATTTACGGTCCACTATTGACGTGCCTTGCACCATATTGCACCATATAGTGCCTTGCACCATATTGCACCATATAGTGTGGTTGGACATTTTGATGAAAGACTTATGGGCGGTAGCACGGCCATGAAAAACAGGCAGATATACTTCCTTAGGGATTGTATTCATCGAGACAATATTCCCGGATGAATGCTTGTTGAAACTTGCGGAGGGTGTGGGTCTTAGTTAGGTGCGGTTCTTCCTAAAATAAGCAATGCCATCACCAGGACTCGAACCTGAACCTCTCGAATACGCGCCGAGTATGCTACTGCTACCGAATCGCCAAATCCAGGTGGTTAAGACTCAATATTCACCACCTTTTAGTTCGGGGGCCAATGTAGAGACTAAGCAGGAGAACATGAAAAAAGAGAAATGCCCTCGCCGGGACTCGAACATGGACCTTTTGAATACCCGCCGAGTGTGCTACTCATTACACCACGAAGGTATGCAGAAAGGAGGGAGAGAATAAAGTAGAATTCTAATTACTTTAAACAATAGATAATTCGCATATTATTCAATGAAGAGTAAGCAAGAAAGATAATAAGTTTAATTTCATGGACTATTTTTTTTAAAGATACATTTTACTTTTGAAAATATAGCAGCTATCAATAGGTTTCTTTTGCGAACGAGTATTAAGAAGGTTGGCGCAAAAGAGTTAATGCATTTGAAAGCTTCCAGAGGTCATCTCATTCAAGTTATAATTATTTTTTCAAATCATATACTGAGCTAATTGCTAATATTTTCTAAAAATCAAGATTTCTTTAAGTGGAAGAAAGCTACAAGAACTGATATGTGATCACTCAAGCAAATCAGAAAAAACTGGATAATTTAGGAAAACGCCTTTTCAGAGCGTTGCAAATATCTATGACATTTGAATGGATATATCGAAGCAACAGCTTTGCTATTGTTTACTCTATGACTTTATACCTGTCAGCAATTACATAAAGCCGTCGAATATATCTGGTATTTGGGGAGGATACAGTGTATTAACGCACTGCTAAGCATTGGCTTAGAAGTTGGCAGAACATCTGGGAGATCTAAGACCTTGTGATGAACCCTGCAGTACATGATAACAGGTAACCCGAAGGCAACCATAGAGAAAGACAGCAGTAAAACGTGTGATGAACTTGTCGAAGGTTTCGAAGTTTTCAAGGAAACAGATAGACTTGAACTGCATCACCTAGGGAAGGTATATAAGTTGAACAAGTGAGTCAGCAGTCAACAACAAATAACGAGCGACAGCCTATTTATCATTGCTGTCTCGACATCGTAACAAACCCACATCTGGTCGAATGCTCACAAGTGACAAAACATGGGTATAGAATGATGCACGAGCTGCTACCACCCGGATAAACAATTATTGAGAACCTGTACTCGTAGGAGTTTGCATTGCAGAAGAAGGCTGGTTTATCGCAACGGCTCCACGTTGATATGAGACTACATGTGGTAAGGACAAATTGGTATACCATTCAGGGATTTGGCTTGAAGAAATTTTCTTTCTTATCGCCATCGACAGAACAGCTGGCCCACTGGGACACTGTTCTTGCCAGATCTAGCTCTCCCAAATTATCACCATTTCTATTCTCTGGACCACCATATTCATGGGAAATCATTACACAGTGACGCAGACCTACCGCAGGCGCTGACGGACTTCTTTGCATCCCAAAGCCCCGAGTCTTATCGGTCAGGGCATTGCACAGCTGCAAGAACTTTGGCAAATATACTGGATAATGATGGAGATTACGTCAAGACCTAATGCTGAATACCATGCGCTGTTATGTCTGTTTGTTTCTCACGATCAAGAAAGGCAAAAAATGTTTTGATTTCCTTTTACTGTGTGGCACCGACGATACCAGCGGCTCGCAAGTCATTGGTTTACATTGTATTCTTTGCATGATCGCATCGCACGTGATATACAGCAAAAATCAGCCCTTTTAGGAAATTAAAACGTAGATATATTAGGTAATTCTTTTGGAAGCAGGAGACATGAAAAATTAGCAATGCCCTCGCCGGGACTCGAACCGCGGACCTCTCGAATACGCGCCGAGTGTGCTGACCACTACACCACGAAGGTATGCTAAGAAGGCAGGATAAATACTTCATTAAAAAAAGAGAACAAGTTCATCTATGCAGTTTTTCTCATTTCACTATGGAATGACCGAAGAATCTCTGATAGAATAGTATGATGTAGAGATCTGCTTTGATATATGAACAGCAGTGATTATTGCATAATGAATTTGACTGAATAGACTACTGACTTGAAACATATAGTTAATACCTATCATGTTCTTTCTAAACAGTGTAGGATTGTGTTTGGTTTTTAAAGCTGAAATAATAAGTTTCCTTTTCAATTTATTCATTCTTCATTTTAACAGCAAAATAAATTCAAAACATAAATAAACAGCCTTCGTAAAACATAATTTCATAAGTAGAATTGAAATTAACGAGTGTCACGTGAAAACTCCGAAAGTTAATTTCATAGTTTATAAGTACAGTTTTCTTTTTACTAACGTCTTACATCCAGTTCATTTTTAGTGCGTAAAGGAAAAATCTCTATTTCGACAGAGAGATCTTTTATTAGCCCTAATTCTAACCAGTTTCATCTTTATCTCCACCACCATGCGAAAACTCATTAAGCTACACTCATTCTCTTCTTCCAAAAACGGCTCGTCTTCTCTCATCCAATCATTTCCCCGTGTAATCAACTACTGCTCTTGTATTTCTCCCTTTTAGTTTCCTATCCCTCCAGTTTTTCCCCATTATTCAACTAAATTCCCTCACCTCTTAAAAACGTTTTTAAATATCATTTTTTAAAATGGGATTTTTAATATATATCAGAAGAATTCTGATCATGTCTTTTAATTTACTGCTGTTCTTAATAAAGTTTTTGTCTCTTTTCTTCTTCTGATCTAAGCAAAAATTATCGGCCTCAGCAGGAAGACAATCCTTCACTTGCTGTAAAATATTCTACCTTATAAGCACTCTCATGATATTCATTTAATTATAAACAATTAGGTAGGGACTTTTATGACCTCTTTCATACAATCTGAAATACAAGTCTTCAGTACAAGAGAGAAATTTGCTATAAAGATGTTTAAAACTCTGCAGTTTTC